AACTCAAACTCTCACAAACACAACTCTAATCCATAACCTTCCATTTCTCTCTCGCTCGCTCCTGAATTTTCCTCAAATAGTCAGTAGTCCACGGTCAGAATTTTTAGTTGCCAGCGACGATCGCCGGTAGTCTAGAGTTAGTCACAACTGATAGCTTTCAATTTCGTTGCGAGACTATTTTTTGTAACTTGTGGGTTAGTTCTGTGATTTTTTTTTTTTGTGATTTTAGTTACATAGCTGCGTATTCTTGATTCTTGAACATGAAAATCGTCTAAGTTATTACTAAACATAGTTGGTCATCTCGATTCTTGAAAATCCCAAATTCATGATTTTTTGTGACCTGTGGATTATTTCTATTTTCGAAGTTCTATGATTTTAGTTACATAGCTGCGTGTTCTTGATTCTTGAACATGGAAATCTTCTAAGTTGTCTCTAGAATTATGACTGTGATTTTAGTTCATTGTGATTTTACTTTAATTTTGTTGGTATTTAAATTTATAGTAGATATATTTAGTTTATTTTAGATTTATTGCCGTAAGATATAAATATATATTGAATTAATAGCATAAAAGTAGACACTAGACACGCAAAAAAATATACGCGAAACCAGCGGTTTAAAACCGGACCAAACCGTTAGGTTTAGGTTTGAGTTTTTTTCAAACCGGTCAAAACGGTTTGGTTTGAAAATTTGTCAAAAACCGGTAAAACCGAACCGCTTACACCCCTACTAACAATGGGAAGTCCATGTTCAACTGCACAAGGGCAGCAAGGATACGCCGTGGTAGGTTAAGTGGTCCAAACTCTTGATAGTGATGTTGGTTCTCGCCCTCGGATGCTAGTGAATCGAAAACCTGGTTCTCCGCACGATAAGTATGGAAAATAGTATCACAGTTAAAAGAGAGATGTTTGATCCGTCCGAGAATGATCTGAATCGTCCATGGTCCTCCACCCTAGTGATGGAGTGAAGGCCATAGATGAGTCGGTCTCTACCCAAATGTCTGATAGGCCTATTCGTCGAGCAAGTGAAATCCCGTTGAAGATAGCTTGAAGCTCAACCTCCAAGATAAGGTAGTCTCCATAGGATCCCGAGAAGGCCATAATACAATGTCCATCCTAGTGTCGTATAAGGCCACCACTACTAGCAAAATCATCCTTGACACATCCATTGGTGTTGATCTTGTGATCTCCAACCATTGGAGTATGTCAAAATAACAAAATAGGGGGTGTGGAGGGAGGAGTCTAAGAGACACCAAAGGATGAAGTGATAGTCAAGTCACCTCGCCAATGAATAAGTCGGGATAAGCGACTAATATAAAGAAATGAAATCTTACGATAGTCTCTCCAAATTATCCGTTTAGGCTCCATACGTATCTCGTGCTTCGTGTCGTTCCTCGCAAGCCATAAGAACGAAAAAATAAACAAGGGGATGACAGTGCAAATGTGGCCCTTGCGAACATCCTGACTGGAGTATCTCCATCCCTGGAACCTGGATCTAACTCTCACCAAATCTCATAGGTACTTGAAATATAGCCCTCATAATGATGCCATACTTGATCAGAAATGTTGCTGCCAGAGAAAATATGTTTAGTCTCGATCTCCGAGCAGCGCGAACATCTGGAGGCTATATGACAGCCAATCCTCCTATGAATGGCTACGTCGACTGGTATCAAAACCCGCTACAGTCTCCAACAGAAGAAAGAAACTGTTGTAGGTATAATGGGACTCCACGTCATCCGATATGAGTCCTGAGGCATCGACAAGAATGGACTAGTTGCCACGCTGACTTGGTAGCAAAATTACCATCCAGTATCTGATCAGCAGCATGATCCCATAGGGATATAGCTCCAATTTACTCGGCCATAGATAGAGAAAGAACCTATAACAATTGTGTAATGTCCCATCGTGAGCCATCATAAAAATCCTTAATTCTCACAAAAGAGTGCGATCGGTAGGGGAATAAGGTCGCCAAAGTAGCCTCGCTCATCCAACAATCATGCCAGATGCTAGAAGATCTGTCCAATTCCAAGGTACCATGCAACGTGTGGCTCGACCTTAGGTCCAACCAGTTTCAACCTCCTCCAAATAGGTGAAGCTGAATAAAGTACAGACGCAAGAAAAGGGTGAGTCCTCGTGCAGGATTTGTCCAATAAAAACTGAGCCCATAAAGATTTTTGCGAATACAAAAGCCACCATAGCTTCAGGGAAAAAATATCAACAATGTCATGCTGTCTCCTAAAACCAAGTCCACCCTCATCAGTAGCTAAGCAAAGATCTTTTTATCACCTCCAGTGTAGTCTGCGTGGCTAATCCTTAGAATGTCCAAGGAATCACACAAAAGTGCTCTCCATTTTCTTCGATACAACCTCATGAGGCTGCATGGTCTGAAATAAGTAAAGTAAAATAGACACGAGAATGAATTTCAATGGAGTGATCCAGCCCCCTAAAGATAACAGGCTAGAAGTCCAGATATCCTGCTGCTAACCTTTTGAATAAGGTCATCATATAAGAAAGCCAACTTAGCCCCTTATATAAAGGGACCCCAAATATGTGATAGGCATCTGCTGGTACCTAAAGCCCGTTAAATGCTCTAATCTCTTGATCTGACTAATAGATGTCTTGCGAGGCAAATAAGACCACTCTGATTTCTATTCACCAACTGCCTAGAAATGCCCTCATAATGCTCCAAGCAATTAAGTATCCTTTGAATAGACTGCTTGTGGCCGTTGGCGAATATCATGTCATCAGCAAAAGAGATGTGAGACGAGAACTACCTCCATGTCGATGGTACATAATAGGGTGAGATTGAAATTGCTCTGTGAGAAGCTGAGAGAAGTATTTAGCAGCAATGATGAAGGTAAATGGTGAGATGGGATCGCCCTGCCTAAGATCCCGAGAAGAAGGGAAGAAACCATAGGGGCGACCATTCAAGAGTATCAAAAATCTGCATGCCAAAATACATTGCATGATCCTATCAATCCATAAACGATCAAATCCGAAGCCATCGTGAATAGAATAAAGGAAGCTCCAATACATGCGATCATATGTTTTAGCCATATCAAGCTTCAACATTGTATTCCCTCATCTCACTTTAATAACTGGAGTACGGAGAAATTCCCGAACCAATAAAACAGTGTCCCCAATAAGGTGACCATGGATAAAATCACTATGTTGACAAGAAATAATATGTGGTAGCAAAGAGCTCAATCAAGTATTTAACAGCTTAGTGATATTAACAGCTTAGTGATATGCTTGTTAAACAATGTACATAAGTTAATCGATTCGAAATCCATCCATCTACAAGTGCCCTCCTTCCTTGGGATTAAAACAATATGAAAACCAAATTTCTGGAAACTTTCACGAACCTTAATCGTGGAAAACTTGTGATGAGAAAATTTGCCAACAAGTGTGTACTTGTATGACTCAGAAAGAATAACTTCTTCCTCCGCTGAAACTGTAATGGCCGGCTCACCTATATGCAAAAAAGGTTTCTTAGCTACGACTTTATGATCACTGGAATCCTACGTAGCTTGAAGGACAGAAGCAAAAGATTTCTTTTGGCTACGCTTGTCTTGAGATATCGTAGGTTTAGTAGATAATGCAGTGGTATATGATTTCTTCCCTTGATTGGTACTGTAGGAGGAAAAGATGAGGCAGGAGGTGGTTGCGAAGCCTCATGAGTAGCAGTTGGGACACATGAGGCAGCCAGCTTGGGTGTGTGGGGTGCACTTGCAGGCGCAACCTCATGGACGCGTGGACCACGCAAGTGTTTGGACAGATTGGAAGGCTTGTTAGTAATCAGAGTGTCGTGCAAAGAAGGAATGCTAGGTGCATGAGACAGAACAATGGATCGATTTGAAGCCAGATCAATGCCGGAAGGGAGTGAGTCAATGCCGGAGACAGGAGTGGGGTCTCCCATGGCCAGCAACCCCTTGGTAGTGTTCATCGGCTGCTGCAGGTCGCCATAGCTGGCGGCGGCGCTAGGGGTTCCACCTAAGGCCTCCGCGGAAGTGGATGGAATGTGGTTTTTTGGACCACTGGAGGATAGTGTGAGGCTCACGGAAGGCTTACGGCCTGTCTCCAGTGGTTGGGCAGCGCTGGTAGAGGCCGGATCAGGGGGTGGGCCAGGGTAGAAGGAGAGAGAGAGCGCAACATTCAATCGCGTTTCTGGAGAGAAAAAATCTTGAAACCGTCATAGACTTATATTTCAACAGTCGGATAATTAAATTCTATTTTCAAAATTAACAACTTTTTGGATTCTTTACTACCGAGTACCTGGGAATTGATACAAAATAACTTGTCCATCATTTTTTGCTGAGAGTCGGTTGTCATAGAACAATACCTTTCTAGAGTAATAACTTGCATTTTCTGAAGGCTATCGCTCAAGTGAATTGAAGATTTAAAATAAACATCCTCTAATTAATTATTATTGATAATAAGGGTGGAGTGTACACACAGCTCTGAAAACTATACACCTGCTTTGACATCTAAATAATTTTTGTCCCTCAAATTTTGAGTCATTGTACCATCTATATACACTAATCTCCTTTCACCTGCTAAACATCTGATCAATCATTTCCCATTGTACATCTAACAATTTTGTTTCAAAAATATCTGGAGGATACTGGTATTAAAATTAATTATTTGAAATTATATTTTACATGGATGCAACAAATTTTGTTGTTGTTCTCAGTTCTTAATTGGTTATTTTACAGGCTATTGGTCCAGAGCTTACCTTCTACAATACATCAAAAACTGCAGCATCTCATATCCTATCTAACAAACTTTTGCATGCACAGTTGGATGCATGCTGCAGGTAAGCTTTCCTTTCCCACTAGTTTAGTTCTTCAAAATGTGAAGGTTAAATAACATTACGAGCATTTATTCTTCCTTCCTGCAGAGAATTTTTTAACTTAAAATACAGAACATAAATTTAATTGGTAATATTTACTGCAATTGACGCACATTTAATTTTTGATCTACTACTTTCGATACAGCTACTGGAATATAAGAATTTTCCATAATCATTTATTCGTGATTCTGAAGATTTTCTGGCAAAATTGAATGCAATGTCATTGGAATTTAGTTCATAATATAAAATGTAATCAAACACATGAAGTCTTATTTTGCTCACAGGGTTGTTTTGAAGGGCGACACAGTTGAAATGAATGCACACGCTCTAGGGTTGACCGTGGAGAGCAATGGAATAAGAATTTTGGAGCCTTTTGATACCTCTGTTAAATTCTCTAATGCTTCTGGAAAGACGGACATACAGTTGGCTGTCTCAGACATATTCATCAATTTTTCATTCAGTATCTTGAGACTGTTTTTAGCTGTTGAAGAGGATATTCTGTCATTTTTAAGGATGAGAACTGAGAAAATGACTGTTTTGTGCTCTGAGTTCGATAGAGTTGGAACTATCAAAAGTAAGTTTTGATACACTTAATGGCCAATCTATTCTGTCATGTTGAAATCACTATGAATCTTAGAAATTTGATGCAGTGAACCATTTGCTGATTTCTGTTTCTGATAGATCCTGACAATGACCAAATATATGCATTTTGGAGACCTCGTGCACCAACTGGTTTTGCTGTACTTGGTGACTACTTGACGCCAATGTTCGTATCTTTCTCTTTTGTCCATTTTTAATGAGTTTTTTGGGTTGTCCTGATAATATTTGAGTCCTCATTTGACAGTGACAAGCCACCAACAAAAGGAGTAATTGCTGTTAATACCAGCTTTATAAGAGTGAAGAGACCTAAATCTTTCACTTTAGTTTGGCTCCCTTCCTCATCTGATGGGTTGGTGGCTGCAGATAAAACTGGGGTTGAAGGAGATGGAATCTGTTCGATTTGGTTCCCTGAAGCCCCAAACGGTTATGTGGCGTTGGGCTGCGTGGTTTCTCCAGGAAGGAAAGAGCCACCAATTTCTTCAGTGTTCTGCATCTTGGCAACGTTGGTTTCTCCATGTGGCCTTAGAGATTGTATTAGTATTGACTCTAGCCGTCGGTATGTATATCATTTTTATTCTTTAATCTGCTTTATGAGGATAAATAATTTCGAAAGTTTATGCATTTATTCTTCTGTCTAATATGGAATAATGGAAATTAAGAAATCATGTTTAGTTGCTTGTCAATATATTGACATACAAATGGATTGAGTCAGAACGTGATCACACCTCACTTGGGATATGTGTTTAATGGCCTTCAAAAATTTTCTAATTAAGCAAAGAGCTACTCTATCATTAAACGGTGTTAATACAGTTGCAAACTTGTTCTTCCCTGCCAGTCATTTATCCAATTAATTGTTTTGTTGATTCTGCAGTAAGTAAAAAGATCTAACTTTTTTTTTTATATCAGACTTTCTAATTTGGCAATTTGGCGAGTGGATAATGCTGTTGGTACATTCTTACCTGCTGATCCAATCACTTTGAGCTTGACTCAGAAAGCATATGAACTGCGACATATATATTTTGGGTTTCCTGAAATTTCTCCAGAAAAACTTAAGAGTTCAAAGATCCAGGGATTTCCTTCTGGTGGTGATTATAGCATGCAAACAGAAAGGACATCAATTGTAAATTCCAGGCAGTTTGAAACAGTTGCTAGTTTCCGGTTAATCTGGTGGAATCAAGGTTGGGGATCAAGAAAGAAATTATCTGTATGGCGTCCTGTAATCCCACAAGGGATGGTATACTTTGGAGATATTGCAGTTCAAGGGTATGGAAAACTTTGCTCTTCGTAACTCAAATCTTTCCTTTTTCCTTTTTTTTTTTTAATGTTGCACAAGGTATGCTTACTCTTTTACTTGGTTTTTCCAGGTATGAGCCTCCAAACACATGCATTGTTCTTCACGATTCAGAAGATTCTCAGCTTTATAAAGCCCCTTCAGATTTTCAACATGTAGGACATATAAAGAAACATAGTGGAAAAGATGACATATCCTTCTGGATGCCTCAGGCTCCACCTGGTTTTGTGTCCTTAGGATGTGTTGCTTGCAAGGGCACGCCAAAGCTATCTGATTTCAGCTCTCTAAGATGTATTCGCAGTGATATGGTCACTGCAGGTCACTTTTTAGAGGAAAGTATATGGGACACATCTGATTCCACGTTTACTAAGGAACCATTTAGTATATGGACAGTTGACAATGACTTGGGAACCTTTATTATCCGCAGTGGTTTGAAGAAACCTCCAAAAAGGTTTGCTTTGAAACTTGTTGATTCAGACATACCAAGTGGCTCCGACAATACTGTGATTGCTGCAGAAATAAGAACATTTTCTGCAGCACTTTTTGACGACTATGGCGGTTTGGTAATTATACCTGCTTCTTTTTCATTGTGAAACTTCTATTTACCTAATTATTTTAGAATTTCCGTGTTGTTTCGGGTCCAACTGCTGTTTATTGTGGAGAGGGGGCGTGCAACTTCTGTTAAAATTCTACGGAATATTAATCATTGCGTAAATTCCAGTCTCAGAGATTTCGTAAGAAAGTCATTTCGAAGTGTGTAACTTCTCTTTGAATTGAAGTGCAAGAAGAATGAGAAAAAAGTGGCAATGGTTTAAACTATTTGCTTTGTCAAACCAATTGCATTCTGCAAAGAATTCTTAACTGGTCTGACATCTTTGTAGCTGGACCTTATTTGTGAAACGGTAAATCAAAGCGTGTGTTATAAATTCGCCCATAATTTTACTTCCTATAGCTTGCTAAGCAGAGTAGTTCATCAAATCCTGCTAATGTTTCTCTCTAATTAAATTGATAGATCTGCAGAGTAGCGATAATAGGTTTACACATTTGCTTAGAGGGTAAGATTCCGGATTCAGAATGGGAGAAAATGATGTTCGTGTTGAACCACTCGTTCTAAAGACTTAACCTGTTACTGAGGATCACATGTATATCATTTAAATCTTATCTTCAACACGCTACATGGGATTCATTTTTCCCATTAAAGCATTACATAGGCACAATTTTTTAATAGAAGGATGGAGGCGAGACTTGAATTGAGGACATTTTCCTGCTCTGATGTAAAAGTTGAAGCTGTTAGAGAGGGCCATATATATAAATCTCATCTTCAGCAGTTTGCCTGATCTAATTTATGTAATATTCAATGCTCTTGATTTTCTACCTCTGGTGTTTCTCCCAAATTGGTTGGTTTGGTTGAAATATGACTCGTTATGCTGCATTTAGTTGAACTTGTTGAATACTTAAAGGACTAAGACTATTAGCAAGAAGCAGATGTTTTTATGTTCGAAGTAAAAGTTTGCATTTATTTGGCTGGTTACCTCATTGAATTTCTCATGTTTTTTTCCTCTAGTTATTGTAAATTTGTTATTGTTATGCATGCATAAATGGACGTATATCTGTTGGAGTACATGTGTATGCATGTGCACGAATATATATCTTTTGAATCTGATACTAATTATTTTGGTCTTCTGTAGATGGTCCCTTTGTGCAATGTATCATTGAACAGCATAGGGTTCAGCTTGCATGGAAAACCTGACTACTTGAATTCCAGTGTGAACTTCTCTTTAGCTGTGAGATCATATAATGATAAGTACGAATCATGGGAGCCTCTTGTTGAACCAGTTGACGGATCATTGAGGTATAGTTATCTGAAAAGTGAATTGTTTCTAGCCCTTTTTGAGTTTTTTTTTGATAAGTATCAGGCTCTGCAGATTATAATCTAAATTCTTAATACCATGAAATAAATCCTAACTTTGTGGATTAAGTTTTTCTGTCAGTTTATCCTCGTGAGATGGAAGCGCTGTAATATGTAGAATAGCTTTATTGGTTAATTCTCTAAAGTTAAGAGTTACCAAATAACCCAGTTTTGCCATTCTGTAACTTTGTGGTTTCTCTAGTTCAAACTATTCACATAAATTAAGAAAAGCATCGTTGTGTGCTGACTTGGCTGTGGAACTCAAAAAGAGCAAACAACTTATTCAATAGTTCCTGAATTAATCTGCACAACATAAGATGATTGACATATTTTCCTTCGTCAAATCCAATGTTGATGGTGTTGAAGATTTAAAAATTTCATTCACGATGATCATTCTGATTAACCCAAAGAACATAATACAATGAAAGTAAGGCCCTGTTTGAGTCACATCATTTTTTTCATTATCATTCTTCTACTCATTTTTAACCACACATTCTTCAATAAATAATATATTCCATCGCATCAATAATTTTTCCTTCTTTTTCAACCACATATTCTACGTCAAATCAACGGTAAAAATGCATTCTTTTTCCAAAAATGTGCACCTGATTACGCCCAAAG